TTGATCTACGAGGTAGCAGCTGCATCCTCCTCCAAAAACTAATTTACTATTAAGACTTCAGGCAAATCCACAGAAACAGCATCGCTTAGAGGATGATCATTTTACTTCTCACTCTTTGCACTGTGTAAGTGCAAAGGGCCAAATAAAAACAAGGAAGTTACACAGGCAGAACTGAGACTAGAATTGTCCCAATAGGTTTAATTCTAGTCAGAACAAGTCGGAACACATTAGATGGTCAGAGAGTCTAAAATATAAAATGGAAAAGACCCTCACAGAGTATTTGGTCATTTTAATTTCCATGATCTTGTAGGGGTTTTCCTTATACTTTCTCTTCAGGCCACTTGTAAAAAACTCAAGAAAGAGCCCATTGTCAGTAAAGCCTATTACATTGTGAGGTATAAACAGTCTAAATTCTGCCATCCTCACTTGAGCAAAACTGCTCCCATGGAAGTCAGTCGGAGATTTCCTCCTGGATCAAGACCTTAGAATTGGGTCTAGAATTAAGCTCTTGCTTACTCACATGAGAAAGTGAAAGCTATTTTCTTTTTAATAAATGGATTTTAAGCCAAAACCCAGATCCCTAAAATTGTAAGTTTGGTTTTCTATTTACAGTGACCAATTCAAACAAAACCTTCACTCCAAGAAGCCCTGAAACATGGTTTTATCTATATTTTGAAATGTATATTCATCATCTGTATCTTTCATTTTATTTTAAGGCTATGTCTAGACTGCAAGCCTCTTTCGAAAAAGAGTGTCTAGACTACAACCAGTACTTTCGAAAAAGCAAGCTACTTTTTCGAAAGAGAGCACCCAAGCAGTCTGGATGCTCTCTTTCGAAAAAGCACAGTTTGCATTGCACAGTTTGCATTACTTTAGAAAAAAAGCGTTCTTCCTCATAAAACAAGGTTTTCTGTGGTCAAAAAAACTGCCGCATTCCTTCGATTTACTTTTGAAAGAATGTGACAGCAGTATTGACGCAGGGGAAGTTTTTTTGAAAAAAGACCCCTTTTTTCAAAAAACCCTGTAGTCTAGACACAACCTAAGAATCCATTTGGATATTGCTTGTACGGAAATAAATAACAGGCTCTTTTCTTCCAACAACTATTTTTTAAAATTTTATCACTTAGCTATATCCCTTTTCTTCACTCTACAATAATTGATTTGCACAACCGTGAGAAAACGACAGCTACAATTTTGCAGGAAGCTACAGAAAAAATTGTGGAAAACCAGCCTGATTACTACGTCTGTGATGCATAGACTAATGTGTCTGATTTTACACGTAACTTGTAAGGGAGTATGTCACTTGTTTTAAAGAGAATTTACAAACTATTATAGATCTGGTGCCTCAGAACCTTGAAAGAAGTCAGGAATCACAAAAGATTTGGTATGACAGGTATGCTAAACAAAGATTTGGTGATTTGGTGCTAGTGCTAATTCCAATGAGAAAAAACAAAATGCAGGATTGTTGGGTAGGACCTTCTGAGGTGACAGAGTGAATGTGTCAATCTCACTTGAAATGTCATTATTCCACATTATAAGGAATATGTACATTTTGTTACATAACTTTAAAAACGTTTGCTCTGAACTTGTGAACTCAGCCACAGGAATAATCCGCTCCCTGCCCATTAAGGATATGTCTACACTATGTGCTTATTTCAAAATAAGCTATTTTGAAATAATATTTCTCAAATTAACTATTTCAAAATAGTGCATCCACATTACAAATCCCCATCGAAATAGCGCAGAATTATGTTGCAATAGTGCATCTGCACTCATTGGAGCCTGATTCGCATTTAAAGCCCCCCGGAAGCACTTTGGGCAGGGCATCAGGACAGCAGTCACTTCCTGGAGCTGCTTCCCTGTACAGCTGGGTCACAGCCTCCTCTCCATTGCCCACCTCCTTGAGGGACAACAAACTCTTCTCACTGCATGCTCTGGTTGCCCTTGCAGACACTGTAGCACTTCTGCCATGGAGCAACTTGTCTGAGGGACTAGAAAGCCAAATGTAATAGATAAAACAGGGACACTAGATTTTTTCCCCCCTTCTCTCAGCTATTTGAACTCTCACAGGGTCAGAGACTAAACTGAAGCAAGAGAACCTCATATTATCCCTGGGTTTGCTCAGAAAGATGTTGACAGATCAGTGCAACTCTGTCACTGTTAGGATTTCGAATGCAACCCATTTCTGTGTATATGTTTGCTTGAACCTGTACATTATTCTGATTTCTTTGTTTTCCTAGTTAATAAAACCTTTAGATAGTTTATTACAGGAATGGATAGGTGTTGTTTTTGATGTAAGAGCTGGTTTAAGTGACTTGTCCCTTGAAACAGGAAGTAATTTAAATATATATTTTTAATTTCTGGCATGATTTATTGTGAAGTTCAGCTTGCCTAGGTGGCAAGACACACTGGAGAGCCAAAGGAAACAGTCTGTGACTCTCTGGTAAGACTGATATGGTGATCCAGGAGCTCACATTTGTTATTGGGTTGGTGAAACCTAATTATAGAACATAACACAAGTGTGGTGTGTCTGTCCTGTTTTTGACATTCTGCCCTGAGGTAGGTATAACAGTCTTGAATCATTTCAGCTAGCACAATCAACTGGTCGGAAATTTTTCAACAAAATGTCTTTTTCCTCAAAAATGCTTACTCATCAAAACAGAAACGTTTTGTGGGAACGGGTCAGTAAATCTGGAATAGGTAAAATTATCAAAGTGAAATCTTGACCTTTTCTAGATTTCCAGACAGAAAGGATGTCACGTTTAGAAATCTAAATGATCACTACAAAATTTATAATGAAAAAAAGTATTGAAATCAAAATGTTTCAAAATTATTGAAACAGATAAAAACTTTTGGTTTGTGAACATTTGAGATGTCAAATTTTGAGATGCCGAAAACGTAGCAGCTCATCTAGCTGAATTTAATTAATTAATCTTGTGTTTTTCTAAATAATTTCAAGAGCGTCTCTTAGGCCACTGCTATTTTTAATAGTATCCTGGCATCTGAATTCAAAGCTGGCTCATAACAATGTAGATAATAGGTCATGGTTCTTTCTGTTGCAGTCTGGTTGCTACTCCTGCTACTAAGGCTGGCACAGTAGTGGCACTGTCACAGCATTGTCTAGAACAGATGTCAATGCTCACATTTATATGCGACATCTTTAATTATATGTGCTTACCTCTGGCAATATGAAAGCTACATTGCACAATTCATTTCACTCATCACCCACCTAGTGCAAACATAAAACTGCTTGCTTTTTGCTGAAGAAGTCTGCTGCTTCAGCTACCATAACTGTATATCACTTTCCCGAAATCTACTCAGAAATATCCCTTGTCATTTTAAGATCCACGATACAGTTATGCCCATTTGAATACCTAGACTTGCGAAGGTTCCGTGACCCTTTTTCAGCCATTTTGAAATATTAGGATTATATTCTGCTTGCAGGAAAAGTTGCAATCCACTTCTCCCCTTCTGGGCATGTTTTCAGCTTGTTCTGTATAATGGCCTTGCACTGTAAATCCTTGTTTGGCAATATAACATATGCCACTTACTATTACCTTTAGGATCTTCCTGATTTTGTTCAGTTGGGTTTTTTTTTCCCTCTGAAAGTACTGTGAATTTAACATGCCACTGACACTCCTTGTGGTCTTTTGAAGAATATCAGCTGCTTCCTGGTGACACAAAGAACCTTACGGTCTTTCAAATTTGTCTCAAGACTCTTTCCAGTTAGAGAATCCAGATTGTGTGAAAATTTCAGTAAAAGTAGTCCCTGCCGAAAGGCGGCACAGTTGTAGAAACAAAGAATATACTCTCACTAGCTTCAGAATAATGGAGCCATTCAAAAAAATGAGCAAGGCAGAATAGATTCGTTTTCCAAAATTACACACTGGGCCAACTTAAATCACAGTTGAATCGGTATTTCAGAAATGCTACCAGTATGGAGCAACTGGCAGTGAATTCCTGTTGCAGGCAATGGCTGAGACAGCTCAGTGTTCCAACCAGCAGTAGTCGATGCACTTCTGTTAGAAGTTTAATTTCCTCCTGTTTAATTAGCCTTGTTTTAAGTGATTTCATTTTAGCATCTTGAAAACAAATGTTTTGTTTTCCACTTCACTCAGCCATTACTTGCTTGTAATAGATGAAATCAGATTCACTGAAATCAATGGCAAAACTTCCATTGACTTCAAAGGGGGGAGAATTTGACCCAAATAGAATTTTGAAACACGTGTTATGAAGGGGGCAGGGAGCTGGACGCGATGACCTCCTGAGGTCTCTTCCAGCCCTATGATTTTATTATTATAAATGCGATATTCAAGGGAATATTTAACATGTGTCTATAAATAGAGATGGATTGAGAAGTCATTTGGACAATTGCTCTACGAGGTCCTATGATTTTAAGGTGTATCATTCAGTAGGGACATTTCAGAGGGAGTTTTTCTGTGAGTAGGTGCTCAGCACTTTCTGAAAATGGGGACCCTTAGTTATTTTTGAAAAATTCAATCCATTGTCAATAAGTTTAAAAAAATAATTACTTGTGTTCACACAAGTTAAAGGAATATTGAATTTTAAAAATATGTGAAAATGCATATTTTAAAAATACACACTGCCTATCTGGAAACATGAAGCAACAAGCCACTTATTCCAAAGCCTAATTTGCTAATGAGGATGTTAAGTATATTTTGAAAGCGTATTCACTTGTCATTCTAGTTATTTTCCACTGTTAAAACACTTCAGGAAATCTTTGTGACATATAACCCACAGGGAAATGGAGGTTATCTGTGTGATTCATCAAGATAACTTCTGTAGAATTTTACAGTTGCCTAAGTAATTTTCTGACAAGGTAAAATCTCGATGTGACTCTGTAGAATTGTACAATGTATATAAAAGTGCAGTTTCCAATTGTAAAGTTTGATTAGTCACTGAAAATCATCTGACTTACAAGTGACTTCCATATCCCCAGGTGACTGAGCTGTTATCTGACATACAGAGATCCAAGACATTAGCAAATATGTCAACTCAGAGTCAGCCAGCTCTCATTCATAGATTCAACGGGATTCCCTTTACAACTAGGTCATCGCCAGATCTTTTAAAATCTTTGGATGCCTTTGATGCTAGAGAAGATGACATCCTTTTGGTTTCCTACCCAAAGTCTGGTAAAGATCTGTTTTAAGCATTCCTTGCAGGGAAACGTAATTGTTTGCTGAATGTTCTAGGTGTTAGCTCATTGGAAAGCCTGCTGCATATGTGAGAGGGTGAAATGGAAAGAGGAAGATGTTTAAGTTCATATTGGAAATGCGGAGCTTTACTGAGGTGTAAAAAGTGGAATTTTAAAATATCAACTATATGTGTATAGTATATTTTGACTTTGTAATTTTAAAGCAGTTGAGCCTGCCTATCAGTTCTCTTTATTACTAGAAATCAAAATAGGCAATTTACTTGCAAGTTAAATCCATACTGTAAAGATGTGGTTAAAGTCTTATTACACTGTTATCATTAATAAGTCAGGACTGTTTAAGTAATTTTATGCTGTTGCTCTGTATATTCATCCTCCCCCCCCCACACACAAAAAATTAAGTCAGTGTTGTTATTGAAAATATGTAAACCAAAGTGTTAGTTCACCAGCTAAGTAGTGGGCATGTAAGTTTTATGATCAAACTTTATGAGGAAAAGTGAGCCATAGCACTACTTTTTAGTTTCTATAAAACTATCTGAATAATGTGCACATTTTCTAAAAAGGTTTGCTTAGTATTAGTGTTACTCAGCATTTTTTCTAAGGGAATTATTTCATTCATCAGCTATAGCTCTAATTCTATGAGCATTTAGACTCATGTGGACTCAACAGAACTGCTTTTATGTGAAAAATTTCTCACACACCTAAGTGTTGCAGGATCAGAGCTTCAGTGTCCTAACAAGTGATCTCCTTTCAAACAAAACTTTTCCTATATCAGTATATTTTTCTAGTAATAAATCCTTTTCTTCTCTCTTACTTTTTTATTCTTAAAAATAATGGTCTTAAGGCACTCACTGGCTTGCAGAAATTGTAATGCAGATTTACACTCCTAAAGTCACCCTCACATCGCCTATTGAGTTTGGAGACATCTCCAGAGTGGAAGAACTGAACAATCTTTCTTCCAAGAGAATCATCCCAACACACTTGGACTACAGCATGTTACCGTCAAATTTTAAGGTCAAGCAATGCAAGGTAAAATATTGCAGCTCTTTCAAATGAAGTATACATTTTATCTGGACTGGATTTAGTCATTTTTAAACACACAGCGCTGCCAGTATCAAGTTACAGTGGCAAATTCCACTCTCGGCCACACCAGTGTAAATCTGGAAAAACTCTCCAGCTTCAGTGGGTTACTCTGAATTTTAACCAAAATAGCATTCCAGTGTTGGTCCTCTATTATTTAAAATTTCATAGTGTAAACTATTAGTTCAATCTGGTTTCTAATATTCCTTATAATCCAGTCTGACCTCCAGCATTATATAGGTGTTAAAATGTCATTCAGTAATTCCTAAATTGCTATTTGTTGGTTGAGCTGGAACATGTTCACATATATATAAGCCTCACTGATGCAGAAAACCTATGACAGAATCATGCAGATTCATAATTGCAAAGCCACTGGATTTTTCAGGTAATGAATTATAGAAGGGACTTCCCAGCAGTTAATCAAAAGCCAATAACTCAACTCTACTTGCATGTCAGTAAACTGGTAGGCTGCGTCTAGATTGGCATGATTTTCTGAAAATGCTTTTAACGGAAAAGTTTTCCATTAAAAGCATTTTCAGAACAGAGAGTCTAGATTGGCACGGATGCTTTTCCGCAAAAGCACTTTTTGCGGAAAAGTGTCCGTGCCAATCTATACGCGCTTTTCCGCAAAAAAGCCCCGATTGACATTTTCGCGATCGGAGTTTTTTTGCAGAAAACAACTCTGAGCTGTCTACACTGGCCCTTTTGCACAAAAGCGTTGTGCAAAAGGGACTTTTGCCTGAACGGAAGCAGAATAGTATTTCCGCAAGAAGCACTGATTTCTTACAGTAAGAAGTCAGTGCTTTTGTGGAAATTCAAGCGGCCTGTGTAGACAGCTGGCAAGTTGAGAAAAACTAGCCAGTCTAGACACAGCCATAATGAATTTAGTATTCTCATATTTTAAAATATAATTACACAACATAGGGCTAACATCTTGCCATCAGATCAGCAGCATAGATTGAGTTCAAGGTGTAAATAAACAATGAAAGGTCTGAAGCATGCCTTCTTCACTTGCATTACAACCTGCCTCACATTGTCTGTCCTGCTAAACACAGTCTGCAGATTACAATGTTCTGAACATTCACAAGATTGGATTGGAAGTAGTCATAGTTATCAAAGTGCCACATTTCCTTATATACTAGCATGGAAATGCACTTGCACTTAGATGTCTTTGAGCATCAGACAAATAATTTGATTTAAAAGATAGAACATATAGGAGCCTGAACACCCTCAAACACATTAGCAGCAAAGAATTTAATGACCACGTAATTAAAAGTTTTTTAAGTATACTTAGTACACTTACATTCTGCATTTAAACCATTTGTTCAGCTCTCAGTGCTATCAATGGATGATGCATATCCAGATGGGGGTAATATATGCCCTTAAACCTGGACTTAAATATCTGTGTTTCATCATAGAATGTCCTACTTTGTGGGACAAAGTGGGCGAGGTAATATATCTTATTGGGCCAATTTCTGTTGGTGAGAGAGACAAGTTTTCTGAAGTTGAAAAAAGATCTTTGTGGGCTCAAGTTTTCTGAGTTCTGTGGGGTTTGAAAGCTTGTCTCTTTCACCAATAGAAGTTGGTCCAGTACAAGATATTACCTCACCCGCCTTGTCTCTAATTCCGAGGAACCCACAACACCATGACTATACTGAACTAATCAGTAGCTCAGTTTTAGTCATAGAAAGATACCAAAAGTGAAAAACATTACAACTTTAAAGCTGTTTTATATAATTTCTGATCAGTGCAATGATTAATGGAGCTAGAGTTACATAATTAAGTGTAAAGGATCCAGGCACATCTGAAAAAAAGCCACACAATGACTAGCCTGCTACCACAGTAACACTTCTTTTAAGTGAGTCACTTTAAAATTAATCTAACAGTGTTTCATCTCTCGTTGCTTATGCATTATCTACTAATATATTTTGACCTATGCCTCCAATTATTCTGTAGAAGTTAGTGTATGGCAAAACACAGGAGTTTGATTTCTATGCAAGATTTGCCTAGTTTTTCCCTGTTTCAGAAATATGACGTTTACTGTAATGTTCGTGATTCTTCAGAATGAACTGCTTGGGAGGACTATGAAATTTTACACATGTAGACTGTATGAAAAAACATTGTTATAGGCAAGGATACCAATTATACAAAAAAAGCGCACAGTTCGGTAAGGGCTAAAACCAAGGTTTCAGCCACAAGTCCAAGTCTTGATAGATCCCTCTCACGCGCACCGCAGAGTTTGCTTTGCCCCCTAGCAATGCTGGAGGCTTCTAGAAATTGAGCTCTGCATCCAAGTTTTGATTTCAAACATGTAACCTTCATACTCATTCAGATGCAGGCTTTGGGTTCAGGCCTAATGCTAGTTGCAACTGTTTCTCATGAAACTGATCATATGCTACTTACATGAGAACAGCAAACAGTAAATGTTTTACACACGGGATTTATTGAGATCCTGTATTGACTTATGAACTAATATAAATGCCATCTCTTGCATATATTCCAGTTCACACACATAGAGGAAACCCATATGCAATTGTGTTCCAGCCAGTAATACTGTATGAGTGGCACCTATACTTCCAGGTTTTACCACTGGTCTGTTAATGTCTGCCAATGCATCAGCTAGTGATTTTCCCCCACTAATACCCTCCTCTACCTTAATGCTGTTTTAACTATAAAGGACATTTGACTATTGGCTGGAAGATGATCACTGAAAGAAGCTTGTCCCATAGCCAGAGGACCTCAGGGAAAAATGTAAAAAAACCTCACACCTATGCAAATGGATCTTCTACAAGAAGGAAGTTATTCTTAATATTCTTATTGTTTTCATTTACAGGCCTTCTACATCATCAGAAACCCAAAAGATATTGCTGTTTCCATGTATCACTACTACAGAGATAATCCAAATCTCCCCACCATAGATTCATGGACTGTTTTCCTTGAGCTGTTCTTAGAGGGAGATGGTAAGGATGAGTGTTATAAATTAGGTTAGAGAGAGAAAAGATAACACATGGTAAAGAAGTGAGAAATATAAATTAGTGAAAAATCCTTATTTACAGGGCATTTACCCTTGTTTACAAATCATCCATATAACCAGATACCAGCCGTATATTTTATACAAATGGGATCAAAGAAAACAATTTGTTTACTTAACCAGAATAGTTACTATCTCTTCAATGTGGCATTACAGGATTTCTTGTCATTGGAATAGGAAACACCACATGTGCCTCCTTACATGTAATTACTGCCAGGGGTATGTGTTCCTCTTTAATAGCACTATCTGGAATACTGCGTACAGATGTGGTCTCATCTCAAAAAAGATATACTGGCATTAGAAAAGGTTCAGAGAAGGGCAACTAAAATGATTAGGAGTTTGGAACGGGTACCATATGATGAGAGATTAAAGAGACTGGGACTTCTCAGCTTGGAAAAGAGGAGACTAGGGGGGGTATGATAGAGGTCTATAAAATCATGAGTGGTGTGGAGAAAGTGAATAAGGAAAAGTTATTTACTTGTCCCCATAATATAAGAAGTAGGGGCCACCGAATGAAATTAATGGGCAGCAGGTTTAAAACAAATAAAAGGAAGTTCTTCTTCACACATTGAATACAGAAGCATAGCAAAGAGGGTCCGAGGGGGGCAATTGCCCCCGGGTGCTATGCTAGGGGGCGCCGGCCCGGGGTTAAAGAGAGCACATGTTGTGCAGGCTCATCTGGCATGGGCGGTGAGTTCTATGGCTGTCCCCACCCCCGGCCCTGGACCATCCCTGTCGTGCACAGGGTTCAGTTGGCTCCCCCTTGCCTGCACATGCTGCGCATGGCAGGGATGGTCCAGGGCCGGGTATGGGACGGCCATAGAATTCGCCGCCCATGCCAGCGTTCAGTCAGCTCCCAATTGCCTACGCACACTGCGCTGCATTTTCAGGTGACCGGGGAGACACCTGGGCATGACGTGACATCACAGCCTGGGACTTTAAAAGTGTTTGGTGCCGCGTGGTGCCGGCCTAACTTCCAGTTCGGAGTCCGGGGACTTCTGGGGCCTGAGCACAGACTCCGGTCCCGCAAGTGGAAGGCAGAAGGTACGGCAGGGCAGGGCAGGGCAGGGTGAAAACTAGGGGGGAAGTGGTGGGAGAGGAAGGAGCTTGTGTGGAAGGGAGGGGAGAAGAGGGAAGGGGAGGGGCTTGTGAGGAGGTGGAGAGGAGAGAGAAGATACAAATGCCAGGGGGCCAAGTGCAGACAATGAGGGAAAGGGCAGGAGGGGAGGTGTCAGTGGGAGGGGGCACAGGGTGATGCTGCGAGAGGAGAGGATAAAGGCATTAGGGTCTGGATGGGGGAGAGGGAGGTGCTGGGAGAAGGCTTGAAATAAGGGGTGGGCATGAGGAAGGCGGGGATGGAGCAAGGCATGTGTGAGGGCACAGGGGCATGAGGGGAATGGGGGCAGAAAGTGGTGAGTAGGTGGGCATCAGGGAAAAAGGGGGCACCAGGAGGGTGCAGGGGTAAAGGAAGGTGCAGGTGCCAGAGGATTCTTGGGGTGAAGCAGAAGGGCAGGGGAGGGACCAGCACCAGAGGAGAGAGGCAGGGCAG